CAGTTCCGTAAAACATCTAATGGTTTGGTAAATCTTATACGAAGCCATTAACAGTTTCTTTACTTATCTGAAGGTTCAGTATACATGTTACGGAACCATTGGTAGTTTCGTAGAGCATCGAAAGGTTCTGTAAATCTGATACGAAGCCATAGCTAGTTTTGTCAGTCCTCTAAACGTTCCGTATACATTTTACGAAACCATTGAAAGTTTCGGAAAACATCAAAAGGTTCTGTATGTGTTGTACGAAACTGTTCATACTTTAGTAAATGATGTAATGGTTCGGTATATTTTTTACGAAACCATAACTAGTTTCGTATGATATGTGCGAAACTATTAGAGCAGTTACGAAACTATGAATGGCTTCGTAGAACTTATACGGAACCTTTAAATGGTCTACGGAACTGTCAGTGGTTTTGTACCAAAGATACGAAACTATCAAAAGTTCAGTACACGATAAACGGAACTTCGAGAGGGTTTCGTAGTAAAATGTCGAAACCCTCTTAAGTTTTCCGAACTTAAAAAAGTTCCGTATTAAAATTACGAAACGATTTTCATGCCACGGAACTTAAAATCGTTTCGTAGAAAAGTACCAAACCTTCAAAGTTCGGTAGAATACCTTTTTTTTTTACAGTGTAGCAATGAGCGTTACAAATCCCGCAAACACCTTCTTGCAGAACTCATCGACATATGTTGAATAAAGTTCTTTAGGCAGTTTTTCTTACGTTCAATATCAATATATTTTGGCCATTCAAAGTCTTTACTTTCTTATAGTTTTGTTTTCAGTCTTTCTTGTTGGTGCTTGCCACTTTTTCGAAGGCGCTTTCTCTGACGAACAGATGCGCGCAGGCGTTGGAGTTCATCAGGTGTGTAAGTAGCTCGTCTTCCGGTACTTCTTTTGCGAGCTACCACACGCTGTTCTTCAGCTTCGTTTGGCGACGTTGTAGCTCGTTTACTCCTAGTTCGTTCAGTAGCAAGTGTTTGTTGCTGGGTTTCTTTCGGTGTAAGAGTAGCTCTCCATGCTGCAACTTTCTCACGAGCTTGCTCTCGTTGTTTTTCGATTTCTTTCAATGTTAAAGCAGCTCTTCTAGCTGAGCTTCTGTCTCGGGCCACAGTACGTTCATAATCAACTTGTTCTGGTGTTAAGGCAGCTCTTTTAGCTGCACTTCTTTCTCGCACAAGGGTACGCTCTCATTCAGCTTGTTCTGGTGCAAAGACAGCTCTTCTGACGGCACTTCTTTCCATGACAAGCATCCGCTGTCTTTCAGCTTCCTCCGGCGTAGCTTGAGCTCGTTTAGCAGCCATCCTTTGACAAGCTTGTAGTCATCTCTTGTCAATATTCGTGTTCTCCGTGTTCGTGTGAGTCTCACTTGTTTGTAGTCTTCGTTTAGTCCGAGGAATTGTTGTGGCTTCCTGGTTTATCGTAGAATACGTCGATGACATTTGAAATTGTTGACCTTCGTCATTCTTCGCATTAAATTCAGGAATGCGAACTTGAGTTAGTACATTATTCTTCGTTGTTAATTTAGTTGGCGTCTGTAAGTGAAAGTGCATTTTTTTTCTGTAAAAAGGTCTGCCTAAAAGATTGAACTCATCAAGCCTGAACCGGCGGCTTTAGGTTCAGTCAGGCTATTTTGATTCTGAGATTCGCTCGACAGAATTAAAAGTGGTACGAAATGATTAGGTGTCAAATTACCAGCATTACTTCTACGTGCTTCCGTTTCATTTTGAATATGGGACCAGAATATATAAATTGTTTTAGATGAAATGCTGGATTGAATATGCTGAAAAGTACTATTCATGATGTCTAGATCGACTCGAAAATCAATTCTCGGATATATAATTCGTATATTGCATTGCATGACACTGCTTAAGGCTGCGATATCATAAAGTTCCGAGAATGAAAAATTATGGGTGAGATTTTTTATTACCTCATTGAGTGGTCCAACAATATGTGCAAGGCGAATTGCTGTAAAGAGTTTCATTTTTTACGAATTCTATATCAGTTTAAACCAGAGATGTGCGGTCCACGGGACTCATCCCGCGGGTTCTGCAGGGCCATGTGGCGACGGGCGAACGGAGAAGAAAAATTTAATTAAATGTGGGATTAACGGGGCACGAGTATTTTCTGGCACATGGATGGGCGAGGCGGGGAACAAATTTTTAAAATGATAGGGGTCTCAGGCGGGTAAATTTTTTTTTCGGGTGTGATGAAGGATCGTCAAACTTATCAAGAGATGTCGTTAGTGTAGGTATATATAGTACAAAGTACATATTAATTGGTTCATTGCTTTCATCCTATTATGTACAAGCTTGTCTGCTATTTGTTTCTTTCTATCTTTATCGTCCATCGTGCACAGTTTCCACTATTAATTTATATTAAATGAATAACTGGACTAATACTTATTTTATATTTAGAATTAATATTTGAATTGTTTTTGTCAATTACTATGATCGGATTACCTGATTTATCTCTTGATGAATCACTTGATAGTACAACTTCGAATACTGATCGTTCATTTTCAATCATTTCTTCATCTCTTCGTCAATACTCATCGAGTCATGTTAAATATAATCCATCAAATATACAAATATTGTTAAAAGAACAACCAGAAAAATACGTGCTTGTCGACAATTACAAAGTGAATCATGCAAAACTATCTTCCTGTTGGAATCGATTTCCTCTTCCTTCTGTAAAAGATGAAAATAATCGTAATATTGTTATTAAAAATTTTGCAACGTATCGATCTTGTTATGCAACTTATGCATTTACATATGGATCAACTAAATCACTAAATTCTCACAAATGTGTCAAAGAATCATCTTCAATATCTACATCACCTAGGTATTTTAATTATCATCTTATTATATGACCTATTTTTTCTATATTTTTAGTCCTAAATCACCATCATTGAATTCGAAAATAAATCGATTTTCGTCTGAAAAGAAAAAGACGTTAACATCGTTAATTGCACTATGGATATGTCAAAATATCCGTCCTATCAGCATTGTTGAAGATGAAGGTTTTTTAAATATTAT